GTGTCTGACAGATTGAACATTAAAATGGTATAAAATACCGACAGGTTGTTAGGTAAGACACATATGCAACAGTTAGGTATCTTTATTATGAAACGTTTCGCCTACACAGTAGGCTTCTTCAGTCAAGTACAGAAAAGTTGATAGAAGCAGAAGATACTTGAAGACGATGTAATCAGTCCATTACCCTACCCTTAAAGTTTTGAGGTGGTCAGTCCCTCAGTCTGGAGAAGAGCATTGTTCCATAGTATGAAACCTCTTGGCACTATAAAAAGCTCCATCCTGTCACTTCTTCTCCATATTGTTTCATACTATGGAACAATGCTCTTCTCCAGACTGAGGGACTGACCACCTCAAAACTTTAAGGGTGATGGACTGATTACATCGTCTTCAAGTATCTTCTGCTTCTATCAACTTTTCTGTACTTGACTGAAGAAGCCTACTGTGTAGGCGAAACGTTTCATAATAAAGATACCTAACTGTTGCATATGTGTCTTACCTAACAACCTGTCGGTATTTTATACCATTTTAATGTTCAACCCTTTCAAAGATTATGATATGGGATGTTAGTGCTATCAGTCTGTAGTTCTTTGCAACTGCTTTACTTCCACCTTTGTAGAGTGGGGCTATGTCTGTTGTTTTTAGTGAGTGTGATGACCCTTGTGTCCATGCTCCCTCTCCATAGAATGCTGAAGGCATATGACAGGGGCTTCTTGCAGCTCTTGATGAACTGGAGTTCCAAGAGTCAGGGCCTGGGGCAAAGTGCATGGGCATGTCATTTATTGCCTTTTCGAAGTCTTGTGGTGTTAGGATAATATCTGAGATTTTTGAGATGACCAAATTTTGGGTCTCGTTCATAAAGAATTCATTTGGATTGTCGACCCTTAGTCTGGGACTTTAGTATCTCGCTCATTTCTTGGCTGTCGTCTGTGTATGTCCCATCTTGCCTAAGCAGGGGCCTAATACTGGATGTTTTTTTCCTTAGATTTGGCATAAGAGAAGAAATAATTTTTTTTTTTTAAATTTTCTTTAGGGCTTTTAGTTCTTCCTGCAATTTTTGTCTCCTGAAAGATTCCTTCAGCTTAAGTTTGATATTTGCAATTTCATTGACCAGTACCTTCCTTTGTATTTCAGATGTACGTATTGGCCCCTCTCAGCAGCTCTGTGACACTTCGCCTTCGTCTGTATAGGGAGCATCTCTTTCTGGTTTACATTTTTTTTTTTCTTAATGGAATGTGCCTTGAGCAGATCTCAAGAACCACAGAGTTTATTTTTTCTAGGCAAAGGTTCAAATCTGGGTTTAGGATATCTTCCCAGCTTGTTTCTTTTAGGACATGGTTGACTTGTTCTTACTGAAGTTGAATTTTGTGAAAACACCCTCATGACTGATCACATTTTGCTGGTCAGGAGCCCAATGCATACATGTCTGTACCTCTATTATGTTGTGATCTGAGCGTATTGTCTTTTATATTACGTATCTGACTGTTGTTGTTAGTGAAGATGAGGTCCAGCATATTTTTTAGTCTTGTAGGCTCTAATATTTGTTGGTTTAATGTGAATTTGGTGCAGAGATTTAATAGCTCGTGTATGTGTGTTTTTCATCAAAGCTGCTTCCTGGGGTGATCTGTGCTAAAATATTTGCTACACTCCTACATTTGAGGTGTCTCAAGTTGAAATCTCCCAGTAGCAAGATGTTTGGGGCAAGAGTTGGGAGATTTTCCAGACAGTGGTCAATTTTCAAAAGCTGCTCCTGGAATTGCTGGGAAGTTGCATCCAGAGGCTTGTATACAACCACAATGACAAGGTTTTGGTTTTCAATCATTACTGCCAAAACTTCAACTACATACATCATTTGAGGTGTTTAATAGTTCTGAGCAAATGAGCGATTCTGTGATGTACAAGCCAACCCCCCTCCCCTCCTTGTTGCCTGTTTAGTCTGTCGCATCTGAATACCTAGAGTTTACCTGGAGAGAGTTCCGGGGGTCGACGCTCCCTGTGGCCCGGTCTGTGACCAGGCATCCTGGTGGATCAGAGCCTGATCAACCAGACTGTTACTGCTGGCTGCACGCAATCCAACGTACGAGCCACAGCCCGGCTGGTCAGGTGCCGACTTAAAGTGCTTGTCCAGTGCCTGCTTGAAGGCAGCCAGGGGTCTATTGGTAATCCCCCTTACGTATGCTGGGAGGCAGTTGAACAGTCTTGGGCTCCTGACACTTATTGTATTGTCTCTTAACGTGCTAGTGACACCCCTGCTTTTCATGGGGGGGGGGGGGGATGTTGCATCGTCTGCCGAGTCTTTTGCTTTCGTTGAGAGTGATTTTTGTGTGCAAGTTCGGTACTAGTCCCTCTAGGATTTTCCAGGTGTATATAATCGTGTATCTCTCCCACCTGCATTCCAGGGAGTACAGGGAGAATAGGTTATAACCTGGGATCCATATTTCGTTGTCAAAATGATCCTTTATGTGGGTCTCTTTGAATGCTGTAAACATTGCATTTGACTCCATGAGCAGTCCCTTGATGTAACGAATTTTGTTTGTTGACGGCTTTAGACCCTGTTTTCAAAGACGAATGTCATTATATTGATGGAATTTAGGGGGGTTTTATTTGCTGGCTCAGGGTGAAATAAGTTACAGGAAGGGGAGTTGCACCCTCTTGTCATGTTGATGCAAACTAGGCATGGATAACTACCAATAAACAAAGTAAATATTAAACCTACATATTTCTACCATACAACTTACTGAATGTGACTAGACCCTGCCTATTATGGGCCAGTGGACTTATTGCAGTGCACCTCTATTTTTATGTAATTATTGAGTTAGAGAAGAATCTGCCTAGCATGAGGAATGTCTATTGCAGTTCTTTATTATGTTTATCCAGTGTTTGGGATGACTATGTATTGCTGGTTTAGTCACAAATATTACAAAGTTTTTGGCACTGTTCCCTGTACTTTTTCTAAATTATGTGTAGAATATACTTTGTATCAGAACCACATGACCCATTTTGAAGTTCCTCAAAAACAAGAGATTTATATGTAACATATATGAAAAACTAAGGGTTTGTTAACAAAGTCAATTATTATCATCCTGAGGGAGTGCAAAACCCACAGGGACGATACAGCATCTGTGAGGGAAAGATGGAAGGCATTCAGGCTTAAATTCAGGGAATTGGAGACCAGATCCAATTCCCTAGATAAAGAGCCCCCTTACCAGCATCAAGGAACTTCCCTTGAGAAGACTAAAAAGTCAAGGTTTGACTTGTACATGCAGGTGGGTTATACTCTTTTTTTTTTTTTAAACACGTCAGCCGTTTCCCACCGAGGCAGGATGACCCAAAAAGAAAGAAAAAAACTTTCATCATTCAACACTTTCACCATCATAATCACTGTCTTTGCAGAGGAACTCGGATACAACAATTTAGCTGTCACTCCAAATGGCCAATATCCCAAGCCCCTCCTTTAAAGTGCAGGCACTGTACTTCCCACTTCCAGGACTCGAGTCTGGCTAATTGGTTTCCCTGAATCTCTTCAGAAAATATTACCCTGCTCAAACTCCAACAGCTCATCAGGTCCCAAAACCCATACGTCTCCATTCACTCTATCTAACATGCTCACACACACTTGCTGGAAGTCCAAGCCTCTCACCCACAAAACCTCCCTTACCCCTCCCTCCAGCCTTTCCTAGGATGACCCTTACCTCGCCTTCTTTTCCCTACAGATTTATACGTTCTCCAAGTCATTCTAATTTGTTCCATTCTCTAAATGACTGAACCACCTCAACAACCCCTCTTCAGCCATAAATGCAATGAAAACTTCCCTACCTTTATCTAAATACTGTTCACATTCTAAAGCCTCCTTGTTCATCTGCAATCCTACTCTGTCTTACCTCTAATTCTTTCAATAATAACCCTACTGTACACTTTACCTGGTATACTCGGTAAACTTATTCCCCTATAATTTTTACAATCTCTCTTGTCCCCCTTCCCTTTATATATAGTAAATTATCTATGAAATATTGTTGCTCAGAAACAATCTCCATTTATGCATGGAAAACATGTTCCATATTCCAAACAATCAACTTTGGATGAATCATCAGAAACAAACTAATGACCTAGTTTGTTTTTTTTTTATGTGGATGGTAACTAACCTCTGTACATTTTCCAGTTTTGGCATCTACTGCCTCGAGAGATGTGAGCAAAGAATATGTTCACATTTTTGACCAACAGTCAACTTGTCAGAATTTACTGAAGTCTTGAAAATAACTGCAGATATGAGGTATTAAATAAATTATTTTAAAATTTAAATATGGTTAAAAATTTTTAGGGATAAGTTTTGTATTTTTTTTTTTAAACATGTTTGGCATTTCAAAAAATGGGAAAGGCAGGTGGGGAAAGGTAAACTTTAAAGTATTTTCTTTAAAATTTTCTTCTTTTTTGGGGGTCAGTGTCCAGACGGGCCAGTTAAAAAAAAAAAAAAAAAAAAAGGATATTGAAATAAATTTTATTTGTCTTACATGGCTCTTCTTGTTGCAAGAACAATCCAGATTTTTTTTTTAAACAGTCCAAAATGAATTAAATACCCCAAAAATTAAAAAAACTCATTTCATCCTTTTCTCCTGTTCTGTTTGGAAGCCCCCAAATAAGTAATAAGTAGTTAAAAAAACAAAAGGGTTGGGGGAAAAAAAAATTTTTTGTGACAGGCTTCTTTAGCATGTGGAAATTTGAAAACAGAAAAAGTGCTAAAAAAGGGGGATTTAGGAGGGGAAATATGGAAGATTCCCTGCAGTGGGGTTTTTTCTATGACAAAAAAAATTCCCCCCAATATTTAAAAAAATTGATTTTATAAAACTTTTTAAGTTTGTTCGCTGTCGGTAAACAAAAGAAAGGGGAATTAATCAACTAGTAAACTCAAAATAATTCAATGTGGAACGTTTGTGTTAAAAACAAAATTTCCTAACCAAAGGGAAATTCTTTTCTTTCCTGTTCTGTTGGGAAGCCCCAAATTTAAAGGGTAGATAATGTAGTTACAGGGTTGGCGGGTAATGGAGGTGGTGGTGGAGGAGAAGGAGGAGGAGGAGGTGGTGGGTGGAGGCGGAGGGCTTGCATGAGGCAGTGGTGGAGGTGGTGGTGGGGGAGGAACAGAAAAAGGTGCTGGAGGAGGAGGAGGAGGAGGAGGAGGAATGCCTGGGACAGATTCCAGTGCAGTGGTGTTTCTGCTCAGTGACAAAGACTCCAACCCACCAGATGACTTGCCATGATAAAGATTATTGATGTTGCTGCTAGAAGAACTTTGTTGGAGTAATCGTATTTGATCTCGCTGCTCCTCGGCTAAACAAAGAAGAACGTGTAAGTGTCTAACTACAATCATAGTACACATGCAAAACTGAATTTGCAAATGATGGATAAACTTAGTTTGTTGTTTAATCAACTAAGAAGTCTTACGTACTCAATACAATGAGCAATTACGTTTCTCTGGGTTCATGCTATTTAGATTGAAAAGCTTGGTAAAATTAGATAATTATAATCATAACTGATCAACCCACAAGGGTCATACAGCTGATAAAATTCTGCCACTGTGTGACCCTGGTGGGTTTAGCTCTTGGTTTTCATTATAATATAAAATTCTGTATTAAAGTACAGCACATTGGACATAGGCAAAATTTATAGTATTAAACCAACACATTACAGAAGATAGTCCTTTCAGAAGATTTAAGCTGCTTTTGCATATAATTTAAATATGAAAAATGAGTTGCACTGCAAGTCAAATATTTGTTGGTCTGTAAAGTGCTACCCAGAAAGGGCAGTATGCAGGAGAGCAACTGGGTGCTTGTTACAGCTCAAAGTTTGTGTATTATGTTGAGGAATGAGACATGCAACATTTGGGAATCTTTACTGAGGAAACATGACTCGCAAAATCATATTGCCATGATTGCAAACAACCATACCACGGGCAGAGATTGAACTCGTGGTGAGTGAGCTGTAAAACTCCAGGCCAGTGACTTGCATGCTGGCCTGGAGTTTTATGACTTACCACATGTTCAATTGTCACCCGTGGTGTTTTTTTTTTTTTTTTTTACTGAGCAAACATTTCACCAGCCAGTGGCTTCAGTCTCAATACAGAAGAAGCCACTGGCTGGCAAAATATTTCTTCAATAAAGTTTCCCAAATGTTGCACGAGTATTTCATACTTGAACTTCTTAGTGTTCCAAACTACATCACTTGTGAATAATGTGCTGTGTAGTCTTGTCTAGAAAAAAAAATGCCTAAGGCATTTTGGGAAAGATGCACGTTTTGTATAAATTACATATAAATTAACATACAGTAGTTTAAATGTTTTGTATGCACCAACATGTTATTAATACTTTAGTTAAGTGATTCACTTTTTATGAATGATGAATGTCAGCTATGAATATTTTCTTATACAGTACTGAATGTCAAGTTTTTGTAATTTTGTATTACATTATTGAGAGATTTACTGTACTTTTACAAAGCACCTCTTAAACCTACCTTCTTTTCTAAGTTTTCTCATTTCATTATTTGCCTCATTAGCTTTATGCTCTTTTTCTCTCACTTCCTCTTCCAACAACAACACACGTTCTCTTAAAAGTTCAATCTCTGCAGCTTTCTCGCCAGATTCATAAATGAGCAGCTCAGCCTGTGTATAATAAGAAAACTTCATGAAGGCATCCATGAAAATAAGTTATGCAGACATGAGTGCCTGCACTCCTGAAGGAGGGGTGGGGATATTGCAGTCAGAGGGGCAATCTGATTATGATTTCAGCACACTTCTGGAAGGCAGCAATTGAGTGAATGTGAATATGTTTTCTTCTATGGGTTATCCTGCCTTGGTGGAAGATGGCCGTTGTTAAAAAAAAAAAATGATGCTGGAGTAATGAGGCAGCTAGAGGCAATGGAAATGTCATATTTCAGAGCAACATGTACGAATATCATGCAGAAATTCTGAAGCATAAAAATTAAAAGGCAATGAGGAGTCACCAAGGAAAAAAAATCTGAGGGCTGAGAATGGATAGATTGGTGAAGAGGGTGTATAAATCTGGGATGAAGGTAGGAGAGAAGGGGTAAAAAGACTATTATTATTATTACAATGAAAACTAAGCACTAAACCAAGGGTCACACAGTGCTGTAAGTAGAAAAAGGTTTGGTTGGTTTGGTGAATGGAGGTAAGTGGTTTTTAATAGCCATGTTGTTAGACTATGAGCAGGATAACTTTTATAAAGGGATGCAGGGGAGACCAGTTAGCTGGACTAGAGTCCTGGAGGTGGAAAGGGCAATGCCTTCACTCTGAAGGAGTGAAGATGTCAGCACATTTCTGGAAAGACTGCAGTTGAGTGGTTGCGTTTTCTTCTTTGGGTCACCCTATCTTGGTGGGAGATATCCATCGAGTTAAAAAAAAAAAAAAAAAGTATGGGTCTGGGGCAGAGTGCAGGGGGCATACTATTGAAGTCCAATGAGGTTAAAGCAATCTTATAAAGCTGAGTTGTTAAATACACTGACATGTATGTAGATACCTGCAGAGGATCTCATATTAAGGTCCTTACTCAAAACCCTTCATACTATATTAAGGACTGGTTTGTCTTACTCTTTTCCAGAAAAATCCTAATTAAAATCACATGCACTTAACAAAGATCAAGCAACCTTGCATAATCAAGTACATAATCCAGAAACCTGATCACCCTGCATCAGGTGATTTTCTCTTGACAAATTAACAACCTGTGGAGAACTACCAATATCAGGATTTAAAAAGCCATTGGCTCTTGAATAATCATTTAGATTTGCTACTTCCTCATATTTGTACAGTGCTGTTATAGGCCATAATGTGCCAGGATGAGGTCATCAGCTACCACCTCTCTATGATTTTTGGGTACTACTGGTAGGATTCTCGTAAGTGGTTCGTGGAATCTGACCACAGAATAGTGTTTTGAAGTAGGAAAAAATAATTTCTGTAAAAGGTTCCAAGAACTACAGTATCTGCCACCTTCCCTTGTCAGCAGCATCTCGCCAGGCTACATACTTAGTGAGCAAAGCAGACATCAAAAAGAATGCAAATGCCCAGAAAGTAAACAGGTAACATGCTGGGCAAAGAGTGATGGTGTAATTATTGATATTATAGGTAGCTTTTCATACTATAAATCATAATAATAGTGGTAAACAAGGTCTGGAGAAATGTACAGTAATCCAATTAAGATCATAACATAATACCTAATGAAATTTCATGCTTCATGATACACCTTCAATTCAAATTCAAAGTTTATTCTCTATAAGGATTACAATGGTACTGTGTGGTTTACATATAGTAAAATAATGATTACAGAGTGTACCACTAGAACACTTAGCATGGCTAGGCATTTCGGGCAGACTTAGTTTAATTCTTAATTTTAAAATATTACAAATTATGAGGTAAGTTGGTATTATGGCTAAGTGACTAAATACTAGTTTGTGAGTTTAGCAATGTGAATGCTTTTGTTTTGGCACAGTACATAGTTTCAGTATTGGAGTATCACAGGATTCATTGTTTTAAGATTGAGATTAATATTTCTGTTTATGGTCAAATGGGTGAGTGAGTGTAAGTGTGAACCACCAGGTGGTATTCGTGTAGTTAGTTGACGGGGTGTATCAGGGATATAAGATGTTTTCTAATGGTAGTTTTGAAGGTGATGAATTTGTCTGCAGTTCTAGAGTTCTCAGGTAGGGTGTTCCAGATCTTAGGGCCTTTGACATACACTGAATTTTTGTAAAGGTTTAGCTGAGGTCCCTTTAGCCAAGTAGCTGACTACCCCCAGGATGCAACTTGCAACAATTTAACACCCAGGATCCTACTTACAGTAGTACTAGGAGAACAACAGCAATGGGTAAGGGATAGTATTAGAATTGCCCTTATGTCTAGCTTTGGCCATAATTTGGAGGCAAGACCACTTTATGAAAACATGTTAAAAATAGTACATAACATCCATTCTTGATTGAGATGCTCTTCTTAGAGATTATCATACTCTCCTTAGAAAGTATCTCAACCATTATCTCCTATGATCAATTATAGTTCAAGTACAGTTTACCAAAATACCAGAAAGATACCTTTAACTTGTGCATAGCCTGTTTGTATTCTTCTTCCTGTGTGTGTAGCTTTTGGGTAAGGCTGTGCACTTCCTCCATTGCCATGCGCAACCTTTCATCCCCCATCACATCTGCTAAAGCAACAGCACTCTGACGAGCCAGAGCAGCATGCTCACTACGGGCCTAATAAAAAGAAAATATTAAAATATATCTTTGTGCTCTAGTTTCCCGTCTAATTATTTCAACATCTTATGTAATGGTTAAAGAATTCGCAGGACCCACAGAATGCGATACTTGTTATACAATGGCCACTCTACAACATTTACCGAGGAAGTCTATATGTTGCTTCACACAGTATGTTATAATCCTGAAGCAAAAACATTTCCTTGCAAAGCAAAATTAAAATATAAAAAAAATTAGGATTATTTCATTAACCATAATAAAGGGAAATTTTTTTTGAAATTTAAATAATCTACAACTTAATACTGCTTCATGTCAGGTTAAACCAAACACTGTTTCAAAGACATATATAAGAGAGAGAAAGAAAGTAAATATACCTACCTACCTACCTCTCTCTCTGTTCTGTAATAATATCTGTTTCTACAAGTGCATGTACGAGGTATACAGGCCAAGCTGACATCAGTGACATACTAATATAGAGAAAGCCACTTGTTATGCAGAGCATTTTGGGCAAATTAGGTCAGGTTTGTCCCAGGATGCGACCCACACCAGTCGACTAACTCCCAGGTACCCATTTTGCTGATGGGGAACATATACAACCAGTGTAAAGAAACACGCCCAATGTTTTTCCCCCTTTCTGGGAACTGAACCCGGGCCCCTCACTGTGTGAAATGAGAGCTTTAGCCACCAGGGTCAAGACTCGGTTCATGGCTCTGCCTCTTAACTTTTTTTTCAATAAATGTATGAAAGAGGGGAAGGTACCTAGGGGCTAGCAGGGAGCATGCGTAGTTCAATTATGTAAAGGGAAGGGGGACAAGAGAGTGTAAAAATAATAGTTATTACTGAAAAAATCAGGGGCAGATGAACAAGGAGGCTCTTGATAGGGTAGGGGATGTGTGGACCAAGTGTTTGCAATGAAGCATACAAGCAATATTTAGATAAAGGTAGGGAAGTTTTCTTCACTGTCGTGGATTTAGAAAAGACACGTGATAGGATCCTAGGTAGTAGATTGGTAGACAGCATCATCCCAGGGAGGTACTACCGTCCTGCCAAGTGAGTGTAAGATGGTTTTACATGATGGTAGGATTGCTGGTGCCTTTTTCTCTGTCTCTTAAACATGTAAGATTTCAGGTACATCTTGCTACTTCTACTTACACTTAGGTCACACTACACATACATGTACAAGCATATGTATACACACACCCCTCTGGGTTTTCTATTTTCTTACTAGTTCTTGTTTATTTCCTCTTATCTCCATAGGGAAGTGGAACAGATTTCTTCCTCCGTAAGCCATGTGTATCGTAAGAGGAGACTAAAATGCCAGGAGCGAGGGGTTAATAACACCTTCTCCTTTATAAATTACTAAATTTAAAAAGAGAAACTTTCATTTGTTTTGTTTTTTGGAGCCACCCAGCCTCAGTGGGATATGGCTGGTTTGTTGAAAGAAGATATGATAGGGCGGATAGGGAAAAAATGTGGCAGATATTGCAAGTGTATGGAACAGATGGTAGGTTACTGAATGGGAAGTACAGTGCCTGCACTCTGAAGGAGGGGTGGGGATATTTCCAGTTTTGAATTGTAGTATCAGAAAATATAAAATACAGCATCTTTTAGCCCTTAAATGGTCCAAACGTATATATACGTTTTTTCAACATCTGAAAGTATGTAAAAAAATGTAATCTTCTTTTTTGTTTTACATTTGAAAATGTGTAAAAAAAACTTTTATCTACATTTTTTTTTTGTTATATTTGAAAATATGTAAAAAAAAGTAGATCTACTGTTGTAGCACTACGAATTTGAACGTCTATCTGTTTGGACCGTTTAAGGGTTAAATGGCTTTGTCATGTCTATTCCTAAATTATATTTTTGAATGTAAACAATTTTGCACATACGTATATGGAATAGGTGGTAAGTTACTAAATGCTGTAAAGTTTTTATGAGGATAGTGAGGCTCAGGTTAGGGAGTGTAGAAGAGAGGGAGAATACTTCCCGGTAAAAGTAGGTCTTAGACAGTGATGTGTAAAGTCACCATGGTTGTTTAATATATTTATAGACGGGGTTGTAAAAGAAGTCAATGCCAGGGTGTTCAGGAGAGGGGTGGTATTAAATTATGGGGAATTAAATACAAAATGGGAAGTGACACAGTTACTTTTTGCTGATGATACTGTGCTTATGGGAGATTCTAAAGAAAAACTGCAAAGGTTGGTGGACGAATTTGGGAGTGTGTGTAAAGGTAGAAAGTTGAAAGTGAACATAAAGAGTAAGGTGATGAGGGTATCAAATGATTTAGATAAAGAAAAATTGGATATCAAATTGGGGAGGAGGAGCATGGAAGAAGTGAATGTTTTCAGATATTTGGGAGTTGACGTGTCAGCGGATGGATTGATGAAGGAAAAAAGGTGAGTGGTGCAATGAGGTATATGTGGAGGCAAAAAATGTTATCTATGGAGGCAAAGAAGGGAATACAGTGGACCCCCGCATAACGATTACCTCCAAATGTGACCAATTATGTAAGTGTATTTATGTAAGTGCATTTGTACATGTATGTTTGGGGGTCTGAAATGGACTAATCTACTTCACAATATTTCTTATGGGAACAAATTCGGTCAGTACTGGCACCTGAACATACTTCTGGAGTGAAAAAATATCGTTAACCGGGGGTCCACTGTATATGAAAGTATAGTAGTACCAACACTCTTATATGGGTGTGAAGCTTGGGTTGTAAATGCTGCAGCGAGGAGGCGGTTGGAGGCAGTGGAGATGTCCTGTCTAAGGGCAATGTGTGGTGTAAATATTATGCAGAAAATTCAGAGTGTGGATATTAGGAGAAGGTGTGGAGTTAATAAAAGTATTAGTTAGAGGGATGAAGTGGGTTTGTTGAGGTGGTTTGGTCATTTAGAGAGAATGGATCAAAGAATGATATGGAGAGCGTATAAATCTGTAGGGGAAGGAAGGAGGGGTAGGGGTCGTCCTTGAAAAGGTTGGAGGGAGGGGGTAAAGAAGGTGTTGTGGGTGAGGGGTTTGGACTTCCAGCAAGCGTGCGTGAGCGTGTTAGATAGGAGTGAATGGAGACGAATGGTATTTGGGACCTGACGAGCTGTTGGAGTGTGAGCAGGGTAATATTTAGTGAAGGGATTCAGGGAAACTGGTTATTTTATATAACCAGACTTGAGTCCTGGAAATGGGAAGTACAATGCCTGCACTCTAAAGGGAGGGTTTGGGATATTGGCAGTTTGGAGGGATATACATATTGTGTATTTTTATACGTATATACTTCTAAACTGTTGTATTCTGGGCACCTCTGCAAAAACAGGGATTGTGTGAGTGAGGTGAAAGTGTTGAATGATGAAAGTATTTTCTTTTTTGGGATTTTCTTTCTTTTTGGGTCACCCTGCCTTGGTGGGAGACAGCTGACTCATTAAAAAAAATATTATATAATTATTATTATTATTCTTTCAACACACTGGCTGTATCCCACCAAGGCGGGGTGGCCCAAAAGAAAAAACGAAAGTTTCTCCTTTTACATTTAGTAATATATACAGGAGAAGGGGTTACTAGCCCCTTGCTCCCGTCATTTTAGTCGCCTCTTACAACACGCATGGCTTACGGAGAAAGAATTCTGTTCCACTTCCCCATGGAGGTAAGAGGAAATAAACAAGAACAAGAACTAGAAAGGAAATAGAAGAAAACCCAAAGGGGTGTGTATATATATGCTTGTACATGTATGTGTAGTGTGACCTAAGTGTAAGTAGAAGTAGCAAGACATACCTGAAATCTTGCATGTACATATGAGACAGAAAAAAAAAGACACCAGCAATCCTACCATCGTGTAAAACAATTACAGGCTTCAGTTTTACACTCACCTGGCAGGACAGTAGTACCTCCCTGGGCGGTTGCTGTCTACCAACCTACTACCTAGTATAATTATTATTAATTACTACTATTATATTAATGAAAATAACAACCCTGGTGGTTATTCAGCAATATAAAATATTTACCTAAGTTTCAGGACCCATTTTGTCTTCTGTTACATTACAGGTACTGTAATGGAAACCAATACGTACTAAAAAAGCCCATCCAATAGCACATTAAAGACTTAAATTAGGAGCATACAACATATCAATAGATATCTAGATGATGAATCTGTCTGAGGAAAGTAACACATATCTTTAGTGCAAAATTCAATGTTAAATTTACAGTGAATCCATACCTTGTACATCTATGGTATATAATACAGACAAGATGAAGAATTAGACATATGCAACATCTGGGTATCTTTAATTGTAGACATTTCGCCAACCAGTGGTTTTATCAATACAAGGACATAATGTGAAGAAATATTCACAAAAGATGAGGTAATCAGTCCCTCAGCCTTGGAGTTGGAGGAGAGCACTGTAGTCTTCAAGACTACAGTGCTCTCCTCCAACTCCAAGGCTGAGGGACTGATTACCTCATCTTTTGTATATTTCTTCACATTATGGCCTTGTATTGATTAAGATACCCAGATGTTGCATATGTGTCTAATTCCCCAATCCATACCTTAGCTGCCTCTGTAGCAGCTGTATTGGCTCGAGCAGCCTCTGAACGCAGCTGAGCCTGCAACGCTTCCACTTCATCTAAAACTAAAACTGACACACGACCCATACGCCGCTCGACTGCTTCCAGTTCTGCTATTCTTTTCTGAAAAAAGTGGAAATAAAAAGCATGGTTCTTTAACAGGAAATCACATCATGAACATTTTCACATCAGATAAGGGGACAAAAAATTACACATCCTTGACTCACAAAATTGTAATAATATGATTGCAAACAAACCATGGAACAGGTGGGGTTTCAACCCATGGCAAGCGAGACCTAAGACTCCAGGCCTGTGCTTATGAAATTTTAATCATGAGCCTGAAATTGGCTCTCGTGATTTTTTCTGAAAATTTAACTTTTAAAACTAATAATACAAATTATTTAAGCAAGGATATTATGCCATACTGCAGTCTTTAATGTTTCATTAACTGAGACGAGCTTTATATTATGAAGGACTAATAAATAAACAAGAATTAGAAAACCTGAAAATCGTTAACTTTATTCCAACACCTACCAATAAATATTACTGTAATGGAAGGGCTTATTGGTTTAAGAAGGACTTATGCAATGGGTTCAAGTGAGAAAAATTTAGGTTTAGAAAGGATATAGGAAACCACTGGTTCGATAAGAGTTGTGGATAAGTGGAATAAACTTTCAAGAAGTATCATTGAAGTTAAAACCTTGTGTAGACAAGTACATGAATGGGTGTGGGTGAGTGTGAGTTATATCTGCCTAGCATGGGTCAGTAGGCCTGCTGAAGTGGCCCTTGATTCTTATGTTATTAATATTTTAGGGATGATGAAGCTGCCTTTATTCTGTTGGTGACTGAAATGGAGATTAATGATGATTCAAAGCATTTTCATTTGAGAGTATTTGGTTCTTTAATCACTAAGTGGGTGTCACTGAATCTGAAATGGTCATCATTGTTGTACTGCTGTGCAAGGCACTCCCCTCAAGGACAGTTCCTTGATGCTGGTGAGGGGCTCTTGATCTAGGGAATTGGATCTGTGCTCCAGTTCCCTGAATTAAGCCTGAATACCTTCCATTCCCCCCCCCCCCCAATATGCACTGTATAATCCTATGGGTTTAGCGCTTCCCCTTATAATAATAATGTGCAAGGCACTGTTTAAGTTGTCTTAAGTTATAAATTACAGCAAATTCTGACAAGAGAATTATTATATTCATGGGTAAGCACTAAATCCATAGGAATCATACAGTGCCTGGAATAATGGAAGGCATTCTGGCTTGATTCAATGAATTGAACCACAGGTGACAAAAAGGTCAAGTTTCCTGCTATTTAGAATGAAAAAATAAGTCGCCACTCAAACCTTGACACCACGATAAGGTGACCCAGTGTTAGAAAGATTTTACACTGTAATGAATTATTTCAAAACAACACTCACCTGAAGTTGTTCTGTCTGCTGAGTTGCTTCATCTAACTGTCTTCTGGTTTCTAATAATTCTTCTTGTGCTTCAAACTCCTCTTGTTTAGCCTTGTTTGACTCTGCAGTAAGACTTGCCACATCCATTTCTAAGCCTGTAAACAAATTTATTTACAATATGGCAGTAAAGTGGTTTATAAACATGTATTAGCATTAATTGCATCTTTTGTACAACTACAAGCATATTCAGCAATGTTTTACTCAACTCATTGGAAATATGAGCTGTTTGCTAATTCTGAAAATCCGTTAATGACAATGATGATACTAAGACCCATTATATATATATATAATGTACTACTCTGATACCTTATATAAAAAGCAAGTTACCAGAAAATGGTTTGTATACAGTGTATACCTTGTATATCGGTCGAGATGTGACCGAGGGTAATGCATGGTGTGATTATTATACAGAGAATTCATAGCTTGGTGATTAGGAGGTGTGGGGCTATTAAAAGTATTATCCAGAGGGCTGAAGAGGCACTGTTGAGGTGGTTCATACATTTAGAGAGAATGGAACAAAATAGGATGATTTGGAGGGTGTATAAATCTGTAGTGGAGGGAAGGTGGGCTAGGGGGTCATCCTAGGTAAAGTGGGGGGGGGGAGGTTTTGTGTGAGAGAGGTTTAGACATCCAGCAAGCTTGTGTGAGCATGTTATATAGTAAATGGAGGCAAGTGGTTTTTATGAATTGATATGCTATTGGAGTGTGAGCAAGGTAAAATTTATGAAGAGATTCAGGCAAATCATTGAGATGGACTTGAGTCCTGGAGGTGGAAAATACAGTGCCTGCACTCTGAAGGAGGGGTAGGGATATCTGCAGTTTTAAACTGTAGTATCAGCACCCCTCTGGCAAGACAGTGATGGAGTGATGGTGAAAGTGTTTCTTCTTTTTTGGGTCACCCTGCCTTGGTGTGTGATCTCCCACCAAGGCAGAGTGGGAGATGGCCCACCACTGCAATTACTGTACTGTATTTACAGATACAGATATTGTAGATTGCAGAATTATCTGGTGTAGAAGCAGTTGAGGGACCTGCAGAAAATGCAGCTACAGGTATGTACTACAGTACTGCCATAGGAGGCTGTATACTGTATTATCAAGATCACCAAGGAAAGAAATGGAATTATCAGGCTGGTCACTTGATACTTTACTGGTGAAGTGTTTCACATCAGTAAGGCTACTGGGGATGGGGTACATGTTATAAGTGGCTAATAAATGCAAATATTTGATCTCTTAATAAAGGATATAATATAGGTCGAATAATTACACCCATTTTTTGGTATGTTTGTCCCATAGGTAATACTGTGCAGTATATGTATCTGCATGATTTCCTGCCTAGATTGTTTCTCCTGCTTAATGCATAGGAGAGGTCTAAAGTTATTGAATTAGAGTTTTCATTACATGACTGCAATTTTTTTTCTTTTTAACACATCGACCATTTCCCACCAAGGTAGGGTGACCCCGGAAAATAAGAAACACTTTCATCATCATTCACTCCATCACTGTCTTGCTAGAGGAGTGTTTACACTAGTTATATAAAACTGCAATTTATCAACATTCTTCCTTCAGAGTGCAGGCACTGCACTTCCCATCTCCAGGACTTAAGTCTGGCCTGCCAATTTCCCTGAATCCCTTCATAAATGTTACCTTGTTCACACTCCAACAGCACGTCAAGTCCTAAAAACCATTTGTCTCCACTTGCTCCTATCTAACACACTCATGCATGCTTGCTGGAAGAAATATTAGAAATAGTGAAAAGTGAAAAAAAAGTTATTATGAATGGTGATCTGAAATTAATCTCTCTTGTGACAACCATTCTTTGTACTACTGTTTTCTAGAGGAAATTAGGTTCCAAGATTCAGATCACCGCATTATTGGAACACCAAAAATGCAACATGTTTTATACCCCCTGCATAGAGCTGCATTCTTTAATTTCTATTATGCGATATATGCCACAACACCCAAAATTTAAGTTCCCTTAGTGTCCCAATTAAAAAAAAAAAAAAATATCTTCAAAAAATGGCAGAGAATCTTTTACTAAAAGTAATAACAAAAATTAAAATTTTTATTTAAAACTTATGGGATTACACATGCACAAATCTGGAGAGTGGAAGCACTTTATGCAACTGCAATAACACTGTAAGCATCCTAGTTATCTTAATAACCTTTCTTTGTTCATTAATCATAACCCCACACCCCTCCTATATAACAATTGCCCTCCAGTTTGAACAGATGACAAAAAAAAAAAGTTTTACTCTATTTCTCGGCTTATAAAATATAAACAAGAATGCTTGGTCATAGTTTAGGCCACCCTATTAACTGAAGCAGACCTATTAAAACCCATAAAACAGACCTTTTGGAATACTGGGGTCCATACCCTGGAGGTAGAGGGCCCCACCCATCCTCAGGAAAATTGGCAAAAATCTAATATTTCTGCCAATTTGAGGTCTATGCCACTTGCAGTCTAAAACTGACCAAAATCGTCTCTAATTCACTACTGCTCTATCAATCAACACCAAGAAACAGCCAATAAAATGCCGAAAACACCAATCTCAAGGTGAAACGTTATCAGTTCTCATCAAGCACTGCATGGAGCAAGATTTTTTTTTATGCTGTGCATACCCACTGCACAGACTTGTTCTCTATGTATATTTGAGGGTGTTATGAGATTAAGATGTACGTACTTATATATACACAAGTGCCACTGGCCTCAAAACATGTATATGTATGTGCAGGAAAGGGAAAGGTAGTAAAACAAATGCAAAACTCAAAGTTTGGTGAGGAAATACTGCAATCTAATTTGAATGATTTATTATCTGATACAATAAGTTAGAATATACAGGTGAGATCCCCGTTAACGATCACCTCCAAATGCGACAATTATGTAAGTGTATTATGTAAGTGCATTTTAACTGTATTGTTTGGGGGCTGAAATGGACTAACTACTTCACAATATTCCTTATGGGAAAAAATTCAGTCAGTACTGGCACCTGAACATACTACTGGAATGAAAAAAGTTCGTTAACCGGGGGTCCACTGTATATTTATAGCTTAACTGAAGTGTTAACCTGCAACAATGTATCAAGAATACTTTTCCCATTAAACATATTATATAACCATCATTCAAAAAAAAAAAATTGCAAAATTACTGGATAATGCAAAATAAAGATCATATTACTATAAAAGTATACTGTCCATATAATTGTGGTACATGACAGATTTTTTTTTTTTTTTTTTTTGAGAAAAAACTGAAATTAATTTATAGCACAGACTTTTGCATTTGAGATCATTGGTATATAAATACAATAGGAACATGAGTTGAAAGACAGTCTCTATGAAGAGCAATAATATATGTGGTGATAGCAGTCTTTGAAAATTTCTGCATAAATCTCTTGCTGTAAGTGATAATATAGTTTATAATGACGAAATTTATATAGATAAATATAAGAACCAACTGAGGAAACATTACCTTTAATTTTTTCCATTAGAGAGGCAATTTCCTGTTCATGCAGCTGTTGTATCTCCTGAAACCCCTGCTTGTCCACAACATCTCCCATGTTGGCCAACATGGAGATGTCAAAATCTGGTGAGGTTTCTACTACTCGCTGCATGAGGATGGCACTCTGACGTTTTAACGTGTTGGCCTCTCGACGCAGATTTTTGTTTTCACGATACCACTGCAGTGAGTTCAGGTTTCTTATAAGACATTTGTGGCAAAAAATTTGCCTAATATGGCAACAGAAAGCAGTAAAAATTATTAATCCCATGACAAGTAAATACAGGTGTACAAAATATTCATGAAATGAGTGCTGTATTGTCAATACTATTATATATTAGAAACAGACTGGGCCGTGGGAGCATTGACCTCCGGAACTCTCTCCAGGTAAACATGAGAGAATGGGTCTGTGCACTTGGTGTTTACCTGGAGAGTTCCGGGGGTCAATGCCCCCGCGGCCCGGTCTGTGACCAGGCCTCATGGTGGATCAGGGCCAGATCAACCAGGCTGTTGCTGCTGGCTGCACACAATCCAACATACGAACCACAGCCCAGCTGGTCAGGTACCAACTTCAGGTGCTTGTCCAGTGCCTGCTTGCAGACAGCCAGGGGTATTCTGGTAAACCCCTTTATGTATGCTGGGAGGCAGTTGAACAGTCTTGGGCCCCTGACACTTACTGTGTTGTCTCTTAACGTGCTAGTGACACCCCTGCTTTTCATTGGGGTGATGTTGCATCGTCTGCCGAGTCTTTTGCTTTCATAGGGAGTGATTTTCGTGTGCAAGTTTGGTACTAGCCCCTCTAGGATTTTCCAGGTGTATATAATCATGTATCTCTCCCGCCTGCATTCCAAATGGGGTACAGGTTCAGGAATTTCAAGCGCTCCCAGTAATTGAGGTGTTTTATCTCAGTTATGTGTGCCATGAAGGTTCTCTGTACGTTTTCTAGGTCAGCAATTTCACCTGCCTTGAAAGGTGCTGTTAGTGTGCAGCAATATTCTAGCCTAGATAGAACAAGCTACCTGAATAGTGTCATCATGGGCTTGGCATCCCTAGTTTTAAAGGTTCTCATTATCCATCCTGTCATTTTTCTAGCAGATGCAATTTATACAATGTTATGGTCCTTGGAGGTGAGATCCTCCGACATGATCACTCCCAGGTCTTTGACATTAGTTTTTCGGTCTATTGTGTGGTTGGAATTTACTTTATAATCTGATGAGGTTTTAATTTCCTCACATTTACCATATTGGAGTAACTGAAATTTCTCATCGTTGAACTTCACATTGTTTTCTGCAGCCCATTGAAAGATTTGGTTGATGTCTGCCTGAAGTCTTGCAGTGTCTGCAATGGAAGACACTGTCATGCAGATTCGGGTGTCATCTGCAAAGGAAGACATGGTGCTGTGGCTTACATCCCTGTCTATGTCAGATATGAGGATGAGGAACAAGATGGGAGCGAATACTGTGCCTTGCAGAACAGAGCTTTTCACCGTAGCTGCCTCAGACTTTACTCTGTTGACTACTACTCTTGTGTTGTATTTGTCAGGAAATTATAGATCCATCTACCAACTTTTCCTGTTACTCTTTTAGCACGCATTTTGTGCACTATTATGCCATGGTCACACTTGCCGAAGGCTTTTGCAAAGTCTGTGTATATTACATCTGCATTCTTTTTGACTTCTAGTGCATCTAGGACCTTGTCGTAGTGATCCCGTAGTTGGGATAGACAGGAGTGACCTGCTCTAAACCCATGCTGTCCTGGGTTGTGTAATTGATGGGTGGTAATCTTGCTTCTTAGGACCCTTTCAAAAAATTTTATAATATGGGATGTTAGCAATCTCGGTCTGTAGTTCTTTGCTATTGCTTTACTGTCCCCTTTGTGGAGTGGGGCTATGTCTGTTTTTTTAGTAACTGTGGGATGACCCCAGTGTCCATGCTCCCTCTCCATAGGATGTTAAAAGTGCGTGATAGGGGCTACTTGCAGTTCTTGATGAGCACGGAGTTCCAAGAGACTGGTCCTGGGGCAGAGTGCATGGGCATGTCATTTATTGCCAGTTCGAAGTCATTTGGCATCAGGATAATGTCAGATAGGCTTGTGTTTACCAAATTCTGTAGTTCTCTCATAAAAAATTCATTTAGATCTTTGACTGTCAGACTGTCTTGCTAAAAAGTGAGTCATATTGGGACTTGAGTAGCTCACTCATTTCCTTGCTGTCATCTGTGTAGGACCCATCTTGTTTAAGTAGGGGCCCAATCCTGGATGTTGTTCTCGACTTTGATTTGGCATGAGAAAAGAAATGCTTTGGGTTTCTTTTGATTTCATTTATGGTTTTTTGTTCTTCCCACGATGCCTGACTCCTATAAGATTCCTTTAGCTTTAGTTCGATGTTTGCTATTTCTCTGACCAGTGTCTCCCTATGCATTGCAGATATATTGGCCTCTTTTAGCCACTCTGTTATACTTTTTCCGTCACCTGTCTCTTTCTATTTTACATCTACTCCTCCTTTTTCTTAAAGGAATGTGCCTCGAGCATACCTTGAGTGCCACAGAGTTAATCTGTTCTAGGCATAAGCTGGGGTCTGTGTTGCTTAGGCTGTCTTCCCAGCTTATATCATTTAGGACTTGGTTTACTTGGTCCCACTTTATGTTCTTGTTATTAAAGTTGAATTTGGTGAAGGCTCCCTCGTGACTGATCACATTTTGTCGGTCTGGGGCTCCGCACATACATGTCTGAATCTGAGTATATTGTTTTTGATATGTGACATTTCACATCAGATTATCATTGTTAGTGAAGATGAGGTCCAGTGTATTTTCCAATCTAGTAGGCTCTATTATTTGCTGGCTTAAGGTGAATTTTTTGCAGAGATTTAAAAGCTTGTGTGTGTGTGTGAGTTCTCATCTGAGCTACCTCCTGGTGTTATCACTGCAACAACATTATTTGCTATATTCCTCCATTTTAGGTGCCTTAAGTTGAAATCCCCCAGGAGCAAGATGTTGGGGGCAGGAGCTGGAAGATTTTTCAGACAGTGGTCAATTTTCAACAGCTGTTCCTGGAATTGTTGGGACGTTGTATCCGGGGGCTTGTAAACTACCACAATGACTAGATTTTGGTTCTCAATCTTTACTGCTAAAACTTCAACTACATCATTTGAGGCATTTAGCAGTTCTGTGCAAATAAGTGACTGCGATATACAGGTCAACCGCCCCCCCCTTTTGCCTGTTCACTCTGTCGCATCTGTATAGGTTGTAACCTGGGATCCATATTTCATTGTCCAAGTGATCCTTTATGTGGGTCTCTGTGAAAGCCACGAACATTGCATTTGCCTCTGCAAGCAGTCCACGGATGAAAGGTATTTTGTTGTTCGTTGCTGGCTTTAGACCCTGTATATTTGCAAAGAAGAATGTTATCAGATTGGTGGTATTGGTGGTACTGGAGGGAGACTTTTTTTTCTGGCACTAATATCTGTATCTGTTGATTTGGAGTGGAGGCCATCGACTGTGATTCCACCCAGAAATGACTGGATTTGGTGTATGATTTCTGCCATTTCCTGCCAGTTTTTTTTTTCCTTCCTGGAACTAAAAAACCTTTTGAGTGGCTGTGGCTACCTGGGTTTTCCCATGGTCTGGATGTTTTGTATCTTTTTGTCCCCTTCAGATGGTGTGTTTATTTTTATTATATTATCACACTGGCCAATTCCCACCAAGGCAGGGTGGCCCGAAAAAGAAAAACTTTCACCATCATTCACTCCATCACTGTCTTGCCAGAAGGGTGCTTTACACTACAGTTTTTAAACTGCAACATTAACACCCCTCCTTCAGAGTGCAGGCACTGTACTTCCCATCTCCAGGACTCAAGTCCGGCCTGCCGGTTTCCCTGAATCCCTTCATAAATGTTACTTTGCTCACACTCCAACAGCACGTCAAGTATTAAAAACCATTTGTCTCCATTCACTCCTATCAAACACGCTCACGCATGCCTGCTGGAAGTCCAAGCCCCTCGCACACAAAACCTCCTTTACCCCCTCCCTCCAACCTTTCCTAGGCCGACCCCTACCCCGCCTTCCTTCCACTACAGACTGATACACTCTTGAAGTCATTCTGGTGTGTCTGGCAATATAAGTTATAGCACTGTCTTTCCTGTACTGAAGAGGGACACATTTCAGGGTGAAAAAGTTTACAGGAAGTGAGGTTGCATTTTCCTGTTGCTGTATGGGCATGGCATTTTCTAGGGTAGTCAAAGTTGCACGTCCCATCTGTTTTTCCAGATATTCCATGCCTGCAGATACCACGTGCATAATATTTGCACAGGCTTGGTTTCTGTTTGCCTTGCATTTTTGTGACTGTATTCCCCGTTGGTGCATATTTTCCTGTCTCATTTCTATCTTCACTAGTACTAACAATGGAGCTCTCACTAGTTATTTCTGGTAATTTATCTTCACTATTACTAGTGGAGTCTCCTTGTTTGCTATCTCCTGTGGTATTGCTGGTTTGTAATATTGGTTCTATCTTGCCCTTGAGTACACTTGTTTCCCCACTACAGCTCCTGTCTCCCTCGAGGCCACTAACATGCATTCCTCCATGCCTGCAGTTTCTGTCTACCAGGACAGCACCTCCTGTATTACAAAATTCGGGGACCCTGGGAAACATGCACTCTTCATTTTAAACAAAAAAAATTTTTTTTTCCCCAAAATATTCGGAGCGCTACGCAAGTGAACATAGAACTACGTTTGGACAGTTTAACCCTTCATCGCGCAATTGGTCCGAAAATTTGAAATTCGAACTGAACTCCCTATGGTGGATAGAGTAACTCAATACAAGGTCACTGATCCCATATAAATTGATTTCTGATGGTTAGTTTTCGAGCAATTGCTAATCTCCGGAGACCGACAATATTAGGCTGCTCCCGACAAAGGGATTAAAAAATTTGATGTTGCAAAACTTGCAATTGTTAATAAAACACACCAAAACAATTTTTTAAATTTAATATACAAACAGACAATATAAAAAACATAAATTGAACTTGAATCAAAACATTTTTTAATTGTTACAAAAATATAAAAAGGAAGCAAATCTCAACAATGACAAATTGCAAAGGGATGCAACTTTCAATCCCTATATTCCTGAGATTCATTTGGATGACCAATTATTCTATATTGCTAATTGATGGTATGGTAGTCGCTGAAGC